TGTGCCTTGAAGTGACAGCTATTGCTGTTTTCTAAATTAAGGGATAGTCTGTCCCCCCAAAATATTCCTGATTAAGGTATGATGATTCCAAGCAGCTAAAACTGCTTTGGAGGAGAATGTAAAAGATTGATTCTGTGGTAGAGAGATGAGTGCCCACAGAATAGGAAAATATGTCTCATATGCAACAATATCTGTTACCTGCACCCTGTGTCTTGGACCATGTTGGGTCCACAAGGTTAAATAAGTGAGGAATAGGAGCTGATGAAACAGATCTGGGTAACAAAATGGCCCAGAATTAAGGAGAGGGCACAAAATCTACTGTCTATCTGGTAGTCGAAGACCTGGCAGCATCTGTGAACACTACCTTTTTTTTTGGTTAAAAAAATTGGTTTGTATATATTTAACAATCTCTATGGTCCTAAAAATTACTTTATCAGTTAATTTTCTTAGGACTACTAGTTAACTGCATTTGCTTCCTATATTTTTCGGCTTGACCATGTTTGCTATAAACAATATTCTTTTAAATTAGTTGCAATGGTGAAAAGATATTGAAAATTTTAAGCAGGTAAGGGAGAGATCAGATGAGAGGACAGAGGCAAAGTAAAATAGCTAAGAAGCAAGCAACAGATTTTAGGACTTCAAAGACAAGAAAACTTTCTTTTCACGTTTAGGGGACTGACGTAGAACTGCGAACTTTTTATATTTCCAATTTATGAACATTAGAACAAATTCAATTAAATAGTTTTAGTTTACAAGTCATTCATCATGTTTTATGTTTTTTGCTCATCTTGGCACAAATGGGTGAAAACGACATCAGGCGAAGTGCTGGTTTCTAGTTTCATGAGCAGTGAGTAGCAAATTTGTTATATTTTTAAATTATATTTTAAATAGATTTCTTATGGGTAGAAGCCCTTTTCCAAGCACCTGTTCATCATGAGATAAAGAACTCTTGCATCTTAGGTATCTAAATAAACAGCTGTGACATCCACAGTTTAAAACACCTGGAATCCATATTTTGCTTTAAATCCTAACATATATGCAGCCTTCCTAGACAATAATCATCTCACATATATGTATAACATTTCCAAGTTTCAAATATACACTAGCTCACTTGACCTATTTCTTTAAATCACTTACATTTACTACTTAGCTGTTCTCACATTAATCACCATGAGGAAATTTGAACTTTAACCTAAGTGTCAACTTTGTCTCCATTCTAAGGCACCCATTAACATTCACATCCCTTTCAGATGGTGAATGTGTAGTATTTCTTCAGCTCCATTTTAATAATGTCCCCTCCCCACCTTACAAACATTTGAGCAATACGTCTTGTGCAAAATGCTAATTCCTTTTTGTAGAAGTGTTCTTGGAACTGTCCCAAGTGTTCTCAACCTGGGTGTGTGGATGAACTTCAGAAGTGTCGTAACACCTTTGAAATTATGAAAACATAAACACATTTATTTTTCTGGGGAATGCATCAAAAGCTTTTTTATCAGACTCTCAATTAAGATCCAGGTTCAAAACAGAAAAAAAAAATCAAAAAAACACTGCTTAACTAAGGGAGATAGAAGGAAATTATAACTTAAATTTAATCCTAAACCCAAATTAAGTTATTTGCTAAATGAGTCTTATATTTTTTCCTTTTGAAAACACCAATGTCACTTATCATTTGAATTTTTAAAGTATTTGAAATAATTTGGGTTCTCTGGGCTTTTCAGCATGTAGGCAGACAGATCCAAAAAATTAGTAAGATCACTCTAAGTCTTACACAAACAGCAGCCCTGCAAATGACACTCTATTGTGTGTTCGCTAAAACCTGTGCCAACTGTAAAACTGAGACAAAGGTGCTTTCCTGTCAAGAAGGGATTTCAACACTACTAGTTGAGTCACTCACTATGTAAGCAAAGGTTTTATACATTTAGCAGAAACACTAAATTAAGAGGTCAGAAGGCCTGGGGTTCTAGTGCCAGCTTTATTTGTCACTAACCATGCACAAATCACTTATCTATAAAGCTTAAATCTAGTCCTTAATTCACAAATATATCATGAAACCAAAATCCTTTCTAAGAAAACCTCTTTGTAAACCAGTCATTTTACCAATTAGCTTATACCTAACTCAAAGATTGACAATCACAAATTAGAGAATCTGTCCTTTATCAATCGGTTGCAACCTTAATTCTGTGGATAATCAGCATTGTCCTATTTCAACCTTACAAAACAAAAAGCTATCAACAAGAAGTTATTGGAGAAGAAAAGCTGGCCCCAAAATAACACTATTAAAAAATGGTTTTCCATGTTAAGAGCAGTGCTTGTTGACAGCCCTGATGTCAAATGGAATAAACAAAACTAAAGCATGTTCGCTATTTTGAAGGGACATGTGCTGCTAGGCTAAGAATCTTATTTTATAAATAATGTTAAATCAATGAAAATGGCTGAGATGGGGGAGGGTCTAGCTCTGTGTCCAGAGTGACTGCTTAGCATGCATGAGGTCCTGGGTTCAATCCCCAGCACCTCCATTAGTAGATAAATAAACAAACCTAATTACCCCCCCCAAAAAAACCCACAAAACAAAACAAAACATAAAAAAAAAAATTAAAAAAAAAAAAGCTGAGAAAACATTATTTACATGTTTGGTTTTTTAAAATCCTTTTCTTTCTTTTTTTTTAATTCAAAATTCTGTTCTCCATCCCAGAACACACTCCTCAGTACTCTGCCAGGGTGAAAGAAATGTTAACATTTGGTCACTGGAAAATAAACATAGAAGAGGAATTAGCATGTTACTGAACAGAGATTTAAGAAGATAATTCTAAGTGGGTATAGAAAAATTTATAGACCATAAGCATCTGTATATATACACCACTTATCACGTATGTGTGTTATAGGAACCATATGCATTAATAAATCTTCAAAAAGTAAGCACCTATATGTTCTTGTACTTAACAATGTCAAATTTTGTGCAGTTTAGTCTCTATTTCAGGAACTTTCCTTATTATGGTGATATAAAATGAACAAATAAAATACCCAAAACCTGGAGCATGGTTTACAGAGAAATACAGGTCACAAAAAAACCTAATAAAATAACTATGTGTACCATTGCTTAGGGGAATATTTTAGAGGAAACATTATTTTCACTCTTGGCCCCAAATGCCATCATCCACTTACGTTCTTTAACTGTCAACTTTTAATACAAAAATACCTTCAAGCTGATAATCATTTATAGTGACTTACAAAACTGACAGTAAATTTCAACACTACATAAAACAGTTCTATACACAGCTTAAAATTTTAAAGTTGTCCGCTGGCACTTGTTCTTTAGAGTTGGTAGACACCATAACTAGTACTGACCTCAATAAAAAACTGTTTTTAGTTTGTACGTATTTTTCAAAACCAGTATCACCTCACAAAAATCACTTCCTGCTGAAGAATCCTCTAACACAAACACCAAAACTATACTGCCAAAATATTTTAGGAAAGCATATAAACTTTTTAAGACCAGGCAAGACCAATGGATAAAAATTTACATTACCCAATCATATGTCCAGAGAAAAATAGGATTGTTCCTTTGATTCAATGAAGCATGTATCAGGTACAGATGAAAAATATGGCAAGTTACCTACTGTTTTTGGTTTAGAAGGGTATCTAAATAATTGCTGATACTACTAGAATGGATGTTTTTTAGGAGAAAAAAATGGTCGCATTTAGTAAATATACATGCTATATTCCAAAATTAAAAATGAAATTTCTTTTAAAACATTAGAATCTGGACTTTTTTTTTTTTTTTTACTTTTGGTGAACATTTAAGACCATTCTGCACATTATCAAAATGAAATCACTCTTTAATAACCTTAATATATATGTCCAATTTTTTTTCTTTGCAGAAGAAAGCCAAACCAAATCTTAACAAACTATATTAACAGAACACTAAAAACTGACTTGTTCAAAATTTGGGAAATCTACTACTTTCATTATTCTGAAGAAAAATATAAATCCTCAAAATCCTACAAACAATTTCTAGTCCAATTTTCTATTACAAAAGTCCAAAAGCTAACTTCCTCACAACACTAAATAGAATTAAAAAGTTAACAGAAGTCTAAATTAGACAATCAGAATTATGAACAGTGTAACTAATCAAAATAATCCACTGATGCAACAAATATTTGACCAAGGGGGAAAAAAAAACAAGCATTCTGATCAATTATATGGTTCTTTTTTTTTGCATATTTTAATCTCAACTTTCAGCAAAGTAAATTATTATATAGGTTGATTTCAAGGACTGTTTAAATTTTGTAACATTACATTAGCAATTCAAACATCACCCTTTCTAAACCAAACCTGCGGTCCTAATCACCTGTTTTTTTCAGGAAAAGGAAAAGGATATCTTTTTTAAGATACATTGAATAGCAGTAGAAACATCTTAGTATTTCAAAATATTTACAAAGAACCCTGCTGATCCTGTGCATTTCGCTGAGGTGCTACCTGCACCCAGACTTCATCATCAGAAAAAGAGCTTGAACTTCCTGACTCAGAGTCCAACTCACTGAATCCATCTAAGTCCCATTCAGTACTAGACTCACTCCGTGCATCATCTTCCTCAGTGATGAAACTCTGACCAGGTTCAAGGCAGGAAGGATAAACACGAGCACAGAGGCAAATAAAGCCAGAGTCAAACTGCAAAAGTCCTAACATGGTACCTATATTAATCCACTGGTCTTCTCTAGTATCATATTCATACACAGTCACCCGGTTTTTTTTCCATTGTGGGGTAGTAGAAGTGATGAGGAGCAACTTCTGGCCATGATTGACAATCTGGTAGTTGTGGGTCTCAGAGTCCAGGGGAATATTACTAATCCGCCTCCACTCGCCCCTGGCTGGGTTATAGACCTTCATGACTGGGATGTCACAGATGCAATAGATCTCATCATTGAAGACACAGGCTTCCTGAAAGTCACTGCGTTTAAGAGAAGCACAATTCAGCCACATATTATGGCTAGGATCATAGCAGAGCATGCGCTTACTGTTCACAGCATAAAGATAGTTCTGAACCACTATTAGTTCAAAGGAATAGAAAGAATGGGGGACAGGTGCCACCAGAGCCCACTGGTTCCTCTGAACACTGTAGCATTCAACTTCTTTTAACTTAACTCCAGTAATAGGGTCTCGCCCACCCAAAATGTAAATGTAGCCATTGAGGTATGCCACATCCATGCCCTCACGGCAGAGCAAGCGATCCGCAAGTTGCTGCCAGCTGTTCTGGGCTGGCTTATACACCCAGAGGTCTTTCCTGGGCTGGGCGGCTAGATAGATGTCATGCTCTGGAGAGACACAGACAGCTGAGGAGGTGATAGTCTTAGTGTGAGCCAAGCTGGTCAAAGGTGATGGCATTGTGTAAATGTCCCCTGAGTATGGGTCATAGCATAAAAAGGGATCTCTGGGATGTCCAAAGAAGATCACCATCTCCTTGGCACACATACCCAGCCTCTGGGGTGGATTTTCTGCTATGGACACAACAGAGCTGCCGCTGCTGCTTTCGGGCTTTGGCACCAGAGACTTGTACAACATGTCACCATATCGCAGCTGCAAGGCCCCTTCAATAAGGTCCAGACAGTACTTCTTCACAATGGGCTTGGTTAACAGCCCTTCCAGGTAATCCTGATCCTCATCAGTGAAGTGTGTCCAGCGGACACACTTGAAAACTTCTGCAGCACTGGGACCCCGCTCCTTGGGAGCCGCCTCCAACCACTGTACCGCCACGTGACACACTGTCCGCTCACTCTCGATGTCTAGACTATCCAGGCGCAGGACAGCCAGCAGCTGGGCCAAGGTTAGATCTGCCAGAGACTCCTCCCTAATCGAACCCATCCGGCTGAGCTGCTTGAAGTTGTGGGCTATGAAGGACTGGGCCTGCGATCGCAGCTTGTGATGGTCGAAGGCGTCGGCGAATTTGAGGATGGCCGTGCAGTTAGTCAGGTCGAGGCGGCGGGCTAGGAAGGAGGCACAGGCTTCCCGCACATACTCCAGCTGCAGCATGTCGGAGGCCGCGTAAAGGCGTTGCACGTTGGCCTCACTTAGAGACACGCGACCCGTGTAGCAGTAATCGACCAACACCTCAAAGGATTCGGCATCCACGTCGTGCATGGTCACGTTCGTCTGCTGACTCTCGAACATGCCGCCGGTGAACATGCTCTTGAAGTAGGGACACGCGGCAGCCAGCACGTTACGGTTGCAGGAAAAAAGGCGACCCGTGCCAGGCCCGCTGCCAGGCGTGACCACCTCGATGGTCACATCGCAGAGCAGCCGCGCGTCGTAGAAGGACTTGAGCTGTGCCAGCAGGGCTGCAGAATGGGCCGTGTCTTTCAGCTCCTCTGGGCCCGTGAAAAAAGCTGAAACCGAGGGCTTGGAAATCCTCTTGGGCCGCCTCCCCCCGCGGGGACTGGCGAGGCGGCGAGAGCGCGGGGCTTCCTCCCGGGACTGCATGATGGAGATGGCGGCGGGGAGCTGAAGGCGAGAACGGGTGCAGGGACCGGGCTCTGGCGCCTCCTCACCCTCTTCTCGCTGACGCTAAGACCGCGGTGTCTCCGGAGAGACTGCACGCGGGCCGCGCTTACTTAACTCGGCCCTACGCCGCGGTGCCGCCTCCCTTTATCGCGTAGACAGAGTCTGACTCACCCTTTTCCGTTCCGCGCCCTTTCTCCGCCTCAGCTCGCCCTCACAGGACCTACTGGCTGGAACCGAGAGATCCGCCACCGCCGCGCTGGCAATGCCAGTAGGCGTCCAGGAGGACTACCGCTCCCAGGGTGCCTTTCGCGCCTCGAGGCATGCCGGGGCGCTCCAGACTCTGCAGCATAGGCTGCGGCACCCAAACCGCTTTGCATGTTGGGAGTAGTAGTTTGAGTAATATCGCGAGGTTTCTGGGGGTGGACTGCTTTGGCTAACAGAATTAGAAAGCGTTTATTCTCGATTTGATGCTTTAGTGCTTCGGGTTTGAAGTCCAGAGTAGAAGCCCCGTTTTAGTATTCATTAATTGTGTAACTTCTCTCTGAGAATTGTTCCTACTTTGTAAAATGAGGATAAGAGTATTTGGTAGGATTGTGTGAGGATAGAATGAGATAAATTGCATAGAACGTAGGACGCTTCAATAAATATTTGTTAGTTGGAACAATATTTAAGTGCTTACACCGTGCCTAAAATATAGATTAAATTATTGCCGACTTTTCTTTTTATAATTTCTGAAAAATGAGGCATCCCGTTATTTGAAACCAGAAACAGTTTCTGCAAGGAAAACTTTAGTGTTTAATGTTGCTTCTTTTGAAAGGTTCTGAAGGGTATTACACTATTTTCAATACTAAACGATGTATGGGGTGTCTTACACAAAGGTGAGGTCCTACACAACATTTGTGGATGAACTTAAATATGCAAATCAGGCATATTAATAGACAGTTGGATCTCATCAAACCAATACTTCGTCTCCTGAGGAACAAAGATTATTTTCATTACCTCTTAATACGAGTGTTACTCATACTGCTCCTTTCACTAGCTTCCCACAAATCAGTTGAAGATTCTGAAATTGTCTTTATTAAGGAGTTTTAGGGAGAGTTTTAAATTAAAATATTTAAACAAACATGCTTTGTATTGTACAAAAAGCACAAGATCCTCAAAGCTTGGTATTCATGCATACCCTAACATGCCTTGAAATAACACAGTGTAGTCTATGCTTTACAAAATGTTTTACATATGTACCAATCGACATTGTTACTTAAATAGTCAAAATCAAGTGCTTACAGATTTTTATTTAAGTTAGAGAACTTCTATTTAAAAACCAGAGTGCTCCGGCTGCTAGTTTGTCATATGTTACCATAACCTAATAAAAGAAATCTTTAGTATTAACATAAGTAGATGGATAACACATAGCAGGAGAATAACTCTTAAGTACTTTTTCTCTCTTCTCCTATTAGCTGAAGAGGGTCTAGTGGAAATACTCCAGGACAGAGACATTAAACGAAGTGGGGCTCAGAGCTCCAATATCTCTTCTGTACCTTTGTTAGATATCCTTCAGATATACCAGAGAGAACTGTCATTAGTTAACACTGATTTCTTTCTTACCTGCACTAAACACCAGCTAGGGAAAAAGCAATTAAAAATATTTTATGTTGATGAAGTATACATAATATAAGTTACCATTTTAACTTTTTTTAAATTGTTCATTTCTTTGGCGTTAAGTATATTCACACTGTTTTGCCACCATCACTACCACCTATTCTCCAGAGCTCTTTTCATCCTGCAAAACTGAATCTTTGTACCCACTCATAATAACTCTCCTTCCCCCTCCCCCAAATCTCTGCTAACCACCATCCTACTTTGTGTCTCTTTGAACCTGACTACTCTAGGCGCTTCGTAGAAGTTCAGTGATTGATTTTTATCTTCCTTACATCTGCCCATACTTTGTTATTTGGTTTAGATTACCTTTCACAGAACTCAAAATATTTAGTAGATACTGTGCTCTACGGCCTGGAGCAGTGCTGTCATAGAACTTTATGTAATGTTGCAAATCTATTTTTGTCTGTGCTGGCTGATCCAGTAGCCAGAAATCACCTGTAGTTCTTGAGTACTTGAAGTGTGGCTAGTGCCACCGAAGAACTGAATTTTAAGTTTTAGAAACACAGCATTGTTATCCATGCACTTCAGTGGAGAAAGGAAAGTCTTCTCAACAAATAGTGTTCAAACAACATAAAAAAAGATTAACTTTGACCCCTACCTTACACCATAAATGAAAATTAAATCAAAATGGATCTTAATATTAAACCAAAAACTTAACTAGAAAAGGGAAAACTATAGAGCTTCTAAAAGAAAACATAGAAGACTATCTCTGTGACTTTGAGATAGGCAAAGATTTCTTAGGGCACAAAAAACAGTAATCTTAAAAAAAAATTGATAAAATGAACTTCAACAAGATCACAAGGTTTTGCCCATCGAAGGCAATGAAAACAAGATAAAAAGGCAAGCCATAGGTTGGGAAAAAATATTCATCATACATATACCCAACAGCTAATGAATATATGAAAAGCTGCTTAATGCCATTCATTATCAAATGAATGCAAATTAGAGCCACAGTGAGAAGACACTGAACACCTGAGACAGGAGGGAAGGGGGCAGGCCACAACCATTAAAAGAATGACACAGCCATTAATACCAAGATGGTGGAAGATTGAACTGCCGGTAGACCTTGGTCTTCATTATACCCTAACTAAAATATAATAGGATGCTAAATGGTACTCTTACAGGTGCCAGGACCATTTAAGGCTGACCATAAATGGTCAAAAGGTTGGTGATGGCTGAATTCCCAGGAATCCCACCCACATCCCCAAAGTAGTTGGAATAATCCTCCCACTTATTAACATACAAAGTTACAGAGCCCATAAAAACTAACAACATCGCAACTCGTGCTGTGCTCCCTTCTGAATGAGATGGACTGCAGTCTGTCTATGGAGAGTTTATCTACTTTTACTTTAAACTGAGCACCTAAACCCCACACTTTGTGGCCTTTTTCTTGCCTTCTGAAACAGCCTGCACTCTATGGAGTATGTATCTCTCTGAATAAATCTACCTTTACTCAACTGTGGCTTGCTCTTGCACTCTTCCTGCACAAAGTGAAGGACCCACACTTGGGGTGGGGCACATCCCAGAGATTTGACTGAGACCTGAGACACAGCCATCCTCTCACTCTACATTTTTCCTGTGTCACACCCACTAGAATTACTAACCTTAAAAAGATCAATAATACTAAATGTTGGTGATGATAGGGAGCCACTGGAACCCTCATATATTAATAACACGAATATAAACTGGTATACTCACTTTAAAAAACTGGTAGTTTCTTTTAATGTTAATTGCCTGATAATTTCATTCCCAGGCATTTGCCCAAGGGAAATTAAAACATGTCTAGAAAAAGACTTGCACAAGAATGTTCATAGTAGCTTTATCCATGTATTCATACAGTATACTACTACTCAGAAATAAAAAAGAAACAACCTTTGATATATGCAGCAATGTAAATGAGTATCAAAAAATGTTAATACAGGGGTAAGTAATAGCTCAGTGGTAGAGAACAGGCTTAATATGCATGAGATCCTGGGTACAATCTCCAGTACCTCCATGAAAAAAAATTTGAACAAAAGAAGCCAGATATACAGGAGTACATACGGTATGACCATTTATATAAAGTTCCAGGACAGTGAAAATAAGCTAGGGTGAATAAAAATCATAGTAGAGGCCACCACTGTTGGTGGGAGAGCAGTGGCAGGTTGCTAGATTGACTGGAAAGGAACACAAGGAAGCTTTCAGGGGTGATGGAAACGTTCTCTTCTTGGTTGGGCTGGTAGTTACACTGGTGTATGCAACTGTCAAACTCAATTGACTGTCTCAAGATCTGTGCATTTAATTTACTGTAAATTATAATCCTCTTTGGAGGATCCACTTCAGAATTGCTAGCAGGAAATAAAGTTGCAGAATTCCTTGCCAGGAAATCATGAAGATAGTTCAGTCATAAAATAAGAAAGTTCGCGTCTAACGGTGTATAGACCACGTGGTGCCAGTTCTCCGTAGATGTGGTGTTGCTGTAAACACCTGGGAGAAGGGTGCCTCATGGCAATCTTTGAGGACTTCAGCATACTGGATCTTTCAAATGCATAGAGTCCCTGAGTGCCCAACTTTACGTTCCAATATTCTTTCACTCCTGACCCAACTTCATTAACAGCATACACATTATTCATGTTTCCTCAAGATCCCTTGGAATTTGCACAGTCCTCTACAGGACTTGGCAGGAAGACAGAAGAGCTGTTTTTGCCTGATAATTAAGTCTCAGTCATCAAGCCAGGGTGTTAGTTCTTCAGGAATCTAACTTCAACTCTATGTGTGAACTTTTCCAGTAGTGGGATGTTTTCTTCAGAGGAGGCTGAAGCATATCAGTGGTATTGCCACCATTTCCATTTCTGGGTGACTTTGAACATTTTTCTCTTGCAGGCAAGACATCTTCTGAGTCTGTGACTCTTCACTTTTCTTTTTCTACATCCAAAATGACTCTCACTGCCTTTACTCTTTAGTGCCAGTAGATTTTTTTTAATGCATCCACTATTTTCTTTTCTTTTCTTTTTAATGGAGGCACCAGGGATTGAACCCAGGACCTACACTCTACCATTAAGCTATTTCTCTCCCCTCAGTGGCTCCACTCTTGCTCAGTTGGGGCGGGCCTAGAGAGCTGTCCCAGGCATGACTTCTATCCCACATTGCTTATTGTCAGCTAACTTGTTTCAAACCTGTTATATACATAAAAAAATTTTAAAAATTATTATTGAAACACTTTGTATTGAAGTATGGCATAGAAACAGAAAAGGGAACAAATCAAAACTATAAATGCACTGAACCATCATTAGCACATTGGCAGCATCTCAGAAACTTCAGTCCCAAACACAAGGTCTTCCTAATCACTACTGCCCCCAACAACATGAAAGTCATATGCTTTTAAAAATAATTTCCTTTAATTTTTAGTAGACTGTAGTAGTTTGGTGATCCGTCCCTTGACTCAATTAAAAATATCCCTATGATTTATTCTTTTTAAATTTATTTTTTTTAATGGAGATACTGGAGATTGAACCCAGGACCTCACACATGCTAGGCATATGTTCTGCAGAGCTATATGCACACCCACCCCAGCTTTATTTTTTAAAGCTTTTTATTTTTTGATATCCTATTTTGGGGAGGGGGGAAGTAATTAGGTTTATTAATTTTTTTTTAAGTGGAGATTTCTGGGGATTGAAACCAGGACCTTGTGCGTGCTAAGCATGCCCTCTACCACTGAGCTATATCCTCCCTTCCTTATTCCTTGATATTCTAAAGGTGTTATGCATATGAGGCAATAAACTTTGGCTCTCTGGATTTTTTACAAGAAACTTAATTTATCTTTGGTGTAGTATGCACACTCCTAACACTTTTCTACTAACAGTTAAAGATGTCAAGTTTATCTTTGTAACTGGGGAGACTAATAGGTCTATCTGAATAAAGCAAGATCATGAGTTGAACTGAATCTCACTGTATGAAAATAAAGTATATAACAACTGAAAGTACTTGTTGATTAAATACCAGACGACCTAGAACCCTGCTACTCCAAGTGGTGTTTGTGAGCCAGCAGCATCCATCATCACCTGGAAGCTTGTTGGAAATACAGAATCACAGGCCCCAGACCTACTGAATCAGAATCTGCATGATGGCAAGCTTGCCAAGTGATTTGTATAAATACAGAGATTTGAGAAAAACATCAAATTAGACTGTCTTCACTTTGCCTTGTTTCACACAATATTTTAATATTTACATTTCCTTGGATAAACGTTTCTGTTACGTAAAATGCCTGAAAACAAAAATCAGTTTCTGTGTTTCTAACTTGTACCCTGAAACCCCCTATTCAACATTATTTCAAATTAAATCACATCCTCCAGGGACATCACTTTTCTGGGGGGTGGGGAGAGTAGGGGGAAATGCCTACCCCTAGGGAAATAATGATATTGATTCAAATAGGATTAAATTCTGTCTCATCTCAGATAAAGTGAGAGGAAAGACAAAGGAAAGCTTTCTTTAAAGAATGTCAGCTAATAAATTTGGAAAGAATGTAAGAATGAGAACATCACCATTTTGTAACTCCAAATGTAATAGCTGTTTCAGGCAAAGCAAGATCATTCATTGATGTTAAATCAATGAGATGAAAGGTCATCGGATGTAACAAATTACCCCCAAAATTAGCAGCTGAAACTAAGAACCCTTAATATATTCAGTTTCTGAAGATCAGGTCCTGGAATTAGGGGTGCGTCCAACTAAAGGGCTCTCCTGAAATCACAGTTAAGACTGTCCACAGTCATTTCAGGACAGGACTAGGGCTAAATGGTCGGCTTCTAAGCTCATTCATGGGCTAGCTGGAAGGCTGCTCAGGGCTGTTGGACAAAGGGACTCAGTTTTTCCAATCAATACAGCCACTCCATAGGGTTGCTCACAATATCATCTTGCTGCCACCAACACAAGTGACCCAAGAGAGAGGCAGAGACAGAAAAACAGAGACAGAGCTAAAAGCAAGTTTTTTTTTACAACCTAATATCAGAAGTGACAATCCCACCACTTCTACTGTATTCTATTTGTTGGAAAAGAATCAATAAATCTGGCCTATATTCAAGGGGAGGAGATTGCACAAGTGCATGAATGCCAGGAACAGGGATCTCCCTGGGGTCATTTCAGAAGCTGCCTTGCACGATGAGAAATCCCATGCTTATATGAAGCCAAAGTATTACCCCACAGACTAAATACTATTAAGAACATGTACCATTACCATGAAGAGATTTGACAGTTTCCAAACTTAGCATCATTAAAGTGGAACTTCCTGACATGATAAAATGTCACATCATCTATGAAGTAGTCTTGCCAAATGTGTTTAATCTGAACTGAATTAATCTTTAGACATAATTTTACTTTATAGTACACTGAGAGGGATGGATGAAAGTTACCAACAGAATGAGGAAGCAGCCAGAAACATTTAGAACGTAGGCTATTCTATAAAACAACCTTGTAGGACTCTTAAAAAGGTCAGTGTCAGGGGGGAGGGTATAGCTCAGTGGAAGAGTGCATGCCTAGCACGCATGAGGTCCTGGGTTCCATTCCCAGTATCTCCATTAAATAAATAAAGAATCCTAATTACCTCTCCCCATTAAAAAAAAAAAGGTCAATGTCATGTGGAAAAAAGGTTGGGGGTTAATCCAAAAACTAAAGAGATACCATCAAATGCAATGTGTGAATCTTGGTTGGATCCTGGATTGGACAAAACAAACAAAAACAGCTAAAAAAAAAAAAAGACACTTTGGGGATAACTGAAGAAATTTTAATATGTAATAGCTATTAGATCATATTATACAATTATTAAATTATTATTAAATTAGATGTGATAATAGAGTTATAATTTTGTAGAATGTCTTCATTCTACAAAATGAAGTGTCTTCAAAATGTGTCTTCATTTAGGAGATATATGAGATCTAGGAGATTTTTTAGGAGAGTTATGAGATCTGCCACCAACTTTTAAATAGTCCAACAATCACTGTGTGTGTGTGTGTCTGTGCATGTAAGAAGAAAACCAAATGCGGCAAAGTGTTAACAATAGCTGAATCTAGAGTATATAGTGTTCACTGAACAATGTTTCCTAAATATTATTTAAAAAAACTTTTCTGTGTGCTTGAAAAATTTCAAAATGCAAATTGGGGAAAAACTTTCTCTCTCATCTTTACCTCCAAATGACTCGATTGGTCTTAAAACTATTTTAGCTAGTCTCCACTGGTATATAGTTCCTCTAATAACCACCCTCTTTTTTACTCAAGAAACTTCCTGAGAAAAATTACTAAGCACAACATGCCACTTTGAATTAGAGTTGTTGACTTTCATTTTGGCTCCCCCTCAGCTGGGGGCTCTGTAAGGTAAGGACTAGGTTTTATATATCACTGCACAAAAGCAACCACATGAATTCCTCATATTATACCACATCTATTGATGCTTATTAAGTCAAAGAACAGTAAGAAATAGAAGTCAAGCAGAGTCTACTTTAAATATTGACTTGAGAGCAGAATTCATTCAGCTCTCAAAGAACTCTACAATCTGCATCCTAGAGATGCTCATGGTTATTGACTCACATTTTCCACAACTTTTATTTATTTTTTTATTTAAAAGTAGCAGCTTTAGTCCTAACTTTAACATGATTAACAGTACTTTGTCTTTAAATAGGAGTTTACAAAGAAGTTTATACATCTATACCACTAAATTTTACCATGGGGAAAGCCCTGAAGTAGAAGATGAAAAATGTGGGTAATTTATAGATGGTTAAAAAAGGCATATGAAGAGAACAAGTGACCTGTCCTAAAGCACATAATCAATTCTCAATACTTTCTCCTTTCAATGATGCATGTTTCACTTCGACTTGAAGAGTTAAATTGTACTTTACCAGAAACCTAAAATAGAAGGTCAAGAAATGTGACTTGATTCACTAAAAAATATATTTGTGAGTACCGTGTATTTTTAGCTGCACTTCATGAACTTCCATAAGGATTTCCATGCCTCTGTCTGCTTCTTGACATAGGTCCATTTTATTTATATAATAAATAACAAATCAGGATTTATTTTGCTGACTTAAGGTTTTCATCCAAAAATTCAGTAACAGCTTCTTCATCCGCTGATTGAAGCAGTCTCTGTATTAACTGATCCAGGCACTTCTCCCCACACAAAAATTCCTGGTAAAAGAGAGAGTTACTAGGAAAACCTGGTTACCAGAAATACAGGAGAAACACAACAAAGAAGCAAGCGTATATTTATTTCGTTTCTTTAAAGTCATTATTTAATAGTGACAAAGGATTACGAATCTACAATATAATGAACACAATTGCTAGTTTGCGAGGATCCCTGCTTAATATTGGCTTTTCTATGTAAAAAGTGAATCCAAAAGAGTAAATGGAATGATATTCTTTCTTAAATTGTTTAAATTAGCATTTTGTTTAAAAATCAATCTTCTGGGATTTGGATCTTTCTTACAGCTCTCCAGACAACAAAACAGAGATCTGAATCAACTTTTGAAATTGATATCCACCTCCCTCTCTTAAAATTCCTTTGCTCGACTTTTCTGACATCACTCTCCTAGGTTCTCAAACCATCTTTGGGAAGATGTGTTTGCTGGAACCTTTCTCCTCTAGTACCCTAAAAAAGATAAGGCTTTTTATTCTTGCCCTGAAAATCTCACCCTTTTCATCATGTCACGTTATTTCCCAAGGGCAAAACAGACTAGAATGCCTTAATGGCCCAGGTATCTTGCTGCCATGGTAAGATCCATGATGTTCCGGGCCATTTGCTGCCTTGCCAGATTCTCTAGACCTGGCTCAGATAAAGCCTTCCTGAACATTCTCATGCCAACCTTCCAAACTCAACTTATTTAGTCTGTAAGTGGTTTATAATAGTTCTCCTTTTTCTTAAATTAGAAATACAGTGGTTTTACATTATCTAACATACATCTCACAAATGTTCTTCTAGGGCAGTGTACCCAAGCAATAGAAATAAAAGCAAGAATAAACAAATGGGACCTAATTAAATTTACAAGCTTCTGCACAGCAAAGGAAACCATAAATAAAACAAAATGACAACCTACAGAATGGGGGAAACTTCTTGCAAATAAAACTGACAAAGGCTTGATCTCCAGAATATAAAAGCAGCTCATACAACTTTATAAGAAAAAAACAAACAACCCAATCCAAAAATGGGCAGAAGACCTCAACAAGCAATTCTCCAAGGAAGACATACAAATGATCAAGAGGCACATGAAAAGATGCTCAATATCACTAATTATCAGAGAAATGCAAATCAAAACTACAATGAAAATCACACCAGCCAAAATGGCCATCATTCCAAGGTCCACAAATGACAAATACTGGAGAGGCTATGGAGAAAAGGGAACCCTCCTACACTGCTGGTGGGAATGCAGTTTGGTGCAGCCACTGTGGAAAACAGTGTGGAGATTTCTCAAAAGACTGGGAATAGACTAACCATATGACCCAGGAATTCTGCTCCTGGGCATATAACCAGAAGGAACCCTACTTCAAAAAGACACCTGCACCCCAATGTTCATAGCAGCACTATTTACAACAGCCAAGACATGGAAACAACCTAAATGTCCATCAACAGATGACTGGATAAAGAAGATGTGGTATATTTATACAATGGAATACTATACAGCCATAAAATGACAACATAACGCCATTGGCAGCAACATGGGTGCTCCTGGAGAATGTCATTCTAAGTGAAGTAAGCCAGAAAAAGAAAGAAAACTACTATATGATATTGCTTGTATGTGGAATCTAAAAAAAAAAGAACATAAATACAAAACAGAAACAGACTCATAGACATAGAATATAAACTTGTGGTTGCCAAGGGGGCAGGGGGTGGGAAGGGACAGACTAGGATTTCAAAATTTGTAGATACTGACAGGTATATGCAGAATAGATAAACAAAATTATACTGAATAGCACAGGGAAATATATACAAGATTTTGTGGTAGCTCACAGTGAAAAAAAATGTGATAATGAATATACATATGTTCACGTATAACTGAAAAATTGTGCTCTACACTGGAATTTGACACAACATTGTAAAATGACTATAACTCAATTTAAAAAAATGATAAAAAAAATAAATAGAGTGGTTTTAAAATCTAGAAGTCCTGTGTAATTGAAAAATATTTATGCTGAAATATTTCAGGGACAAGTGTCCTGAGGTCTGCAGTGTGCTTTCAAATGGTTCAACAGCAACACAGGTATATATATTTAGAGAAAGGGGAAGTGGAGGAGGAAGAGAAAGCAAATCTGGCAACATGTTAACAACTATTGCATTTAGGTAGAGGGTATAAATGAACTACTTTAAAAATGTGTGCTTGAAATTTCAAAATAAAAAATCAAGGGAAAAAATTCTCCCTTATATTAACCATTAAACAATACCATCACTGGATGAAAACTGTTTCAGTTAAGCCTTCACTGCAATTCCTCTCTGAGAAATGAGTAAAATAATAACTTCGAGTACCTTTCTCTGTCTCTGTTTTTTTTTCTCTTTTGGCAGGAAGAAGGTAATTAGGTTTTTACTTATTTATTTATAATGGAGCTACTGGCAATTAAACCCAGGACCTTGTGCATGCTAAGTGCGTGCTCTACCACTGAGCTACACCTTCCCCCATCAAGTACCTTTCTTGTGTAATAAAGGTTCCGCATAATAGAGTTGTTTGGTTTAAGTGAATTAGCAGTCTTATATTTTAGAAATGCTCACAATCCAGACATTGGCTTAATAGAAATATTTTAATGTTGGCACCTGGAACATAGAACATTTAAAGTTTAGACATAGGCATAAACTAATCTTATATTTAGTCTTCAATGGTCTTGAAGTTAAATTTTAGGTTAAGTGTACACATTTATCTCTCAAATTAAACTGTAGGGGAAGAGATATACCTATTAGCTTTGCATTCCACAAAACACCAGTATATAGTAAAACTTTTAAAATTAAACAGAAGGCAAAGCACTATGATTAAATTTTTAAATTAAGAAAACCCTTTTGAACATACTGTGAAAACTGCTTATAAAATGAATGTGCCTGGGAGGAAAGGGTATAGCTCAGTGGCAGAGCACATGCTTAGCATGTACAAGGTCCTGGGTTCAATCGCCCACCACCTCCATTAAAATACAAAAACAAAATGAGTGTGCCTGTAGCTCAAATTATTATGATACTGCCAAGGTGATTTCATCATCTGGAAAGTATGTTGAAAGGACTGTCACTCTTACTGATTGATAATCACATCACATTTAGTAAATTCAACTGGATTAACCAGAGTGCTAGGTACAAAGATCAAAGATAAAGGAATTGTAGGGTTTTTTTGTATACATTTTTTCATTGAACTATAGTCAGTTTACAATGTGTCAATAGGAGCTGCAGTTTTTAACTTTCAGAAGTTCATGATCCAGTGGAAGAGCCAGGTAATGCATAACCATCCTAATACAGTGCAAGAGATTAAAAAATAAAGGAAGAAAAAATTTGCATTAGATCTTAAAAAGAGAATAGAATTTCTCCAAATAGAAGCAAAGAGCATTTCAGTCGAAAGAATGAGTATAAGGAAAGGTATGAAACAAAGTACATTTAAAGCCCAGGGCAGGGGTTAATTTCGGGTGTAATTGGAATAAAAGGCAGAGGATAGGCTGATGCTAAAGAATCTGCAGAAGGACTTTGAGAAACAGAATAAAAATACAAAACAATATGGTAGTCTGTACTTACTATCTGGATAAATAAAAATAAAATTACTTACAAGGAAATTCATAATAAGAATACTGGGTGACCTCAGAGAACCCAAGGACGAGAATATACAGGGTGATGCCACCACCTGAGAATGAAGCTGGGCCTTAGGAATAAATGGATCTGAGGATTCATATAAGGATTCTTTCCATCCTTTTCTCCCATTTTTGCTCCTTTTGTAATAAATAGGGAAGAACAAATCTGACTCTATATTAGGTCTACTTCTTTTACTTCAGCCTTTGGATTCTATTGCTTGTTAATCCCTAAAGGGATGTTGCCTATAAGCTTAAATTATACGTAACGGATCATTTCTGGGACCTCTGCCTCCCAGGTAATGAGCATTAAGCTAAAATACCTTTGTTTAGCTCACAGGAAACATCCTGACCAGACCTGCCTGTGAATGGCTGAAGGGAGGAAGAAATGAACACCTCTCCTCTGGAGTCTGGCTGGAACCAGGACTTTACCCCTTCCCCTTTTAGTATAAAAGAAGTCTGCATTCAAACTTGGGGAAGATGGTTCTTTGGGACGCTAGTCCCGCATCTTGTCAATCTGCTGGCTTTCTGAATAAAGTCATTATTCCTTGCCCCGACAACTCATCCATCAGTTTACTGGCCTGTTGTATGGTGAACAATATGAACTTGGACTCTGTAATACTTTAATATATCAGCTTTATTCATCTCTCACTGAAGATTGCTTTCTTCCCATGGTTGGAAATGTGGCCTCTAATCTCCTATAAGCTTTCCATATTTCAGCTTTATCCACCGAGAGAGAATGATCCTCTTTGTCTTCAGTTTAAACATCCTGGGAAGAAACTCATTGACTGAGGCTTGTTTGGATTTCCTCCCCAGACAAACCAATTACTGTCTTGGGTCAACATCATGATCATGGAAGAACACAGCAGCTCCATCAGGAACTACGAGGATGGAGCAGGGAGAAGGCCAGGCCCTTGAATAAGGGAGGAGAGCTCAGCAGAGTCCCATAGGTGCCTGCTTTCTTTCCCCTCCCCTCCTTCCATCCTGTCACAGTGGTTGCCCAGCGTTGAGGCCTTTATCACTTTTCCAGTCTCATCTGCAACCATTCAGTTCCTAAATTATTCACTCCGACTAGTCTCTTTGCTGTCCAGCATATAGATTTTGATGTTTTACTGCATTTTTCCCCCATACCATTTTCAAACTTTTTCCTTTCACTAACCTGGAATGGTTTCTTTCAAATTCCAATAAGTTGGTTAGTGATCATTAGAGCAAACCAATAAGATTGTCCTTATTCTTTCTCTTTTTGTTTTGTTTTTTTGGGTTTTTTGGGGGGTGGGAGGGCAGTAATTAGTATTTATTTATTTATTTTTAGTGGAAGTACTGGGGATTGAACCCAGGACCTTGTGCATGCTAGGCACACACTTTTACCACTGAACTATACCCTCCCCCCTGTTCTTATTCTTCCTGAGTCTGGCACGCTAGTTTAGTTAGCAATAACATGTTAGGTATTTAAGCCAAAGTCTGATATTTTATAACTATAAAAGCCAGTTACTCTGCCTCTGTTTCATGACTGAATACCAAACTGAGAACGTGTGTGTCCTTCTAAAACATGCTACTGGTCATAGAATGTGTCTGTCTTATGGAAAACCATCACCACTACTAGAAAAACAACTTAAAAATTATGGTGTAATTAATAATATGGCTCAACAGGCTTGGTTATTACTGTGTGTTTCCGGAGAAAAGGGAAGTTAGCAAATATCTTCTCTTTTTCAAAAAGGCTCTCACATTCCTATGCAAGACAGCCTTCAATTGCCGAGAAGACAGAGGAAATGGCATAAGAGACAAAGAAATTTCTAAATATGTTAAAGACACAGACATTTCCTTTGTAAAATTAAGACTTTAATTTTGTGTATAGAATGAGACAGAATTAAGTGAAAGAAGCCCGAGGTATCACATGGTACCAAGGACAGGGATCAAAACCTTCTATCTCCTGCCTTTTCCACACAGTCCTCTCTGGGAACCAGTTCATTTTCTCCATCAGTGGAAGCAGAAGGGCAATTTGTGCTTCACCATTAATGTGTTAATGTCAGTGATCCCGGCGACCTGGATTTAGGTTAATGTTCAAGCCAAACTGACAGTCTTCCCCGCCCCAACCCAACCCAGCATAATTGTTAACATCTGAATCTAACGAAGACACACTGGGGAAGGCAGAACTCTAAGATGCCCCCTGGTGTACACACCTGGCATAACTCCCTCCCTCAAGTGCAGGCAGAAGCTGTGAATATGATGGAATATCATTTCCAGTGATTGGATGACTAGTTAGTTGACTTTGAATCAATCAAAAGGAATATTATTCAGGTGGGCCTGACCTAAACAGGTGACCCCTTAAAAAGGCCATTCTTGCAAGAGCTTCAAAGTTGGAGAGGGCACAGGGAGGGGGCTATATAGCAAGCAACTGTGGTTGGTCTTTGGGAGCTGACAGCAGCATACAGCTGATGGCCAGCAAGAAAATGGGGGCTTCACTCCTACAACTCAAAGGAATGGAATTCTGCCAACAACCACATAAGCTTGGAAGAGAACTTCAAGCTCTAGAAAGACATGCAGCCTGGCCAGCACCTTGATTTCAGCCTTGTGAGATCAAAGCAAAGAACTCAGCTCTGTCGTGCCTGAATTTGTCGTGCCTACAGTAAACGTGAGATAATAAGTAGGTATTATTTTAAGCCACTAAGTTTGCAATAATTTGTTACACAGCAATAGAAACTTGGTAGACATATATTGAAAATACATTAATACATTGTGATTGCATAACAAAGAATTTGGAATTTAAAAGCAAGTTGTTTCAAATTTACATAAAGACCATATTTCTTATTTGCAAACTAATAAAAATGTTTGCAGGTTTGGGGTACTAATATAAACTATCTTAATGATTTTAAATTACTCGGTAATATTTCAGAGATGATGCTCTAGAATTTGATTATACTTTCTTAGAAAATAAAAGGTATATTAAGCACACTCAGTGGTATTACCTTAATATTACGAACTTCATATGCTATCCTGTGGTCAGTGACTCTATCCTGGGTGAAATTATATGTCCGAATTCGCTCTGACTGGGCTCTTGTTCCCACCTGTGCCATCACAAAAAACAATTCAGATTTGAACTTGATAATTACCTTTAATACAATGGAGAAAGTACTTGAAAAATGACTCTTATCTTTTAACAGTTTAAATATTTTCTAAAGTCATATATACAAAGTGAAAAGGAACAAGAATGGGCAGAATTTATTAAGACTACAGGTTTGTAAAGCTTAGCCACGGGATAAGAATTCATGTTTCTTTGGTACCTCAAACTCCAAACATTTAAAACAAAATTATTTTTCTATCTCAATCGGTTCTTCCTCCTGGTTTCTATAAGTGACCCCACAATGTTCCCTATGGTCTAAGTAGGAAACTCGACATCTTGCATTTTAACAGACATTTCACGGGTGCTTACTATTTGCCAGGCTTTACAGACACTGAAATGACCACAATCATGCCATTCTCTTAACTGCCCACTTCCAATGGTTTCAAGGGTTTTATTATATCCTGCTCTTTCCATTTCTACTATCCATCGTTCGAGGGCTCATTACTTTCACTACATTCCTGTAGAAGTCTCCTGAGTGATCCTCCAGTTCTCGGCTTATGTTCCCTGCTTAGTTTTTGTAGAGCAGAGTTTTCAGATAAATTTCTTTCTTAGGCTCCTTTTTGTCTACTGAGCAGACACAACTCAACTCAGCTTTCAAGACCACTTCATAATGTGGCCACCTTTCCCAACATTGTTTCTGAAAATTATCTGAAATTTCTATAATGTCATTTCATTATGTCATATCATTATGACATGCAAGTCTGTTAACTCTGCTAAAACATCATCTCAAGGGATGCCCTTCCTCAACACTCCCCTACCATCTCTGTCTTTTCTGGTCCCAACAATTGAAATATGTCATTTTCCTTCTTTGAAACCCCATGCACTTGGATCTTCACGGCACACCAGTCTGCCTTATGCTATGATTATTTGTATTCTTTTTTTTCCTTAAAAATTTTTTTTATTGAAGTATAGTTGATTTACAGTGTTGTGTTAATTTCTGGTGCACAGCATAGTGATTCAGTTACACACATATATAGTCTTTTTCATTATCAGTTATTACAAGATATTGAATGTAGTTCTCTGTGCTCTACATTAGGACCCTGTTCTTTATCTATTTTATATACACTAGTTTGTATCTGCTAATCCCCCACCTGCCCCCGGTTACTTGTGCTCTTAGTCTAGTCTGCTCATCTTCCCTCCCTCCCCGACATACAATGCACATAGCACTCTCTCTTACTCACTTTCACCTTTTAAGATTAAAAAAAAAGACATTTATATAACGTATTCTCCAAAGCAAATAATATGAAACTGAACTCCAAAGTATGGCTGAGCATCAGGAGAGTTCTTTCTCCCCTTAACAGAGGCACTGGGGATTGAACCCAGGACCCTGTGCACTCTCATCCACCACACTGAGAATTTTTAAAAATTAGCTTCCAAAGCCCAACCTAAGGTATACTGAGTCACGGGTTATATATTTTTAAACCATTCCCAGGCCATCCATTCTGCAACAAGCCAGGTTTGGAAACCACTATCCCAAAGCACCATATGAACACCTAGGAGCCCATCCAGATCAATTATATCAGAATTTCTAGGGGAGGGGGGGCCTAGACATCTGCAAAGCTCTCTAGGTGATAAGTGAGCCAAGGTTGAGAACCTGGCATAATGCCTTCCATATAAAGGCTGCTGGGGGCATGGGGGTATAGCTCAGTGGTAGAGCGCATGCTTAGCATGCGAGAGGCCCTAAGTTCAATTCCCAGTACCTCCATTAAAAGAAAAAAAGAAAAAAGAAAAGCCATTGTATACATTAGTTGGAGAATAACTTCTAATCATCAGAAATATCTACTAAAAAATTTCACATGATGGACAAGTTAACTGGGAGGCACAGAGGGCTCCTCTGGCCTCTCAAAGCAGACTACTGAAGAAGATACACATGCGTACAATTTGCGTAAAGCCGATCTTCAATACTTTAAAAATTACTACGTGGACCATCTGATGCCAAAATGTCAAATGGCAAGTAAATCCCAAGGTCTTTTATTAAATCAAATGTGGCAGAGCTGACGGTGCGTACGCCATCACTCAGTCGCCAAGAAGCAATGATTTGTAAATGAGCACCTCTATCCGCAAACGTACACACGGATGCAGTGCCACAAACCGGGGCTACCACGGATAAAGGAGTAATATATTATTTTTCCTGTGACTTTGACTACTGGCAGGTCAGAATGTGGGTAAGGGGAACTAGAAAGGCAAACTGTGAAAGACTAGGGCACCCAGGTGAAAAGAATAATGTTTAGCTTTATACAAGTTAACCTAAAAGACCACAAAAATCTTCCAAATTTACTGTAGCATAGCCACCTACAAATAACACAAAAGCACAGTTATTTCTGGGTTCCATTTTCTCTTTCAATCTCTCTCAAACTTTACCTTTATTAGAATTAAAAATCATACAACACTTTGTTTACTTAAAACAATGACATTTTCTTGTAATGAGCCATAACGGAAAAGAAACTGAAAATACATGTATGTAGGTATATGTATAACTGAATTGCTTTGCTGCACACCTGAAACTAACATTGTAAATCGACTATACTTCAATAAAAATAATAAGAAAAAAATGACATCTTGCTTACAACATCTATTTACACACTCAAATAAATAATACTAAGAATGTATACAGTGCAAAATTCAAAAAGTACAAAATGGTACATAGCAAAAAAAAAATAAATCTCCCTTCTGCTCCTTGTTCCCAGACTGCATCAGAAGCAATCACTATTAACCAGTTTTTGCAGTGTCACATATTTTTGATCTCACATAAAATTATAATGAAAGCATAGGTTTTTAAATTTAAAAAGCTTAAATGTCTCCTAATCTCCAGAGAACTATCTTTTACACTAAGTCCCTCAAAAGACAATCATTATGTAAACTGGGAAGGAAACAACTGGGAAATAATTTTTAGTTCACACATATCTCCTCTACCATTTAGAAATAGGTATGTCCAAATTTAGCTATAACCCAACAGCCTTAAATATTGCTATTTACAAATAGCATGTTTTCCTATGCTCCAACATATTTCCATTCGATCAAGAATAAATACCATGGGAGGAGGGGGTGACAGGTGAGTGGTAGAGCACATGCTTAGCATGCACAAGGTCCTGGGTTCAATCCCCAGTGCCTCCATTAAATAAATACATAAACCTAATTACCCGCCCCACCCAAGAAAAGGAAAAAAAAAGAATAAATACCACATTTTCTACATGATGACTTTTTGTACAGTGGCATTAAGTTATTACACTAAATAAATCTTACCTGCAGTTTTCTGGCACTTTGTTGTTGACACCTGTCTTTCTCAATAATCTGCTGGTAGAGTCTAGCTCTCAACACACGCAAAGCTATTTCCTTATTTTTTATCTGTGATCGTTCTTGTTGGCATTCTACTACAAGTCCTGAAAAAAACACAGGCATCAGAGGTAAACTGTAGCCTCCATTAGCCAAATGAGAAGAGAACTGAGGTGTCAATTATATCTCAAGAAAACTGATGAAAAAGATAGAACTGAAGAACATTTTTAAAGGGGGGGGGGGTGTTTAATCAGGAAAGGATTGAAAACATTTTGGATTTAGCACACTCCAGAAACCATACCTTGGTCGGGACGATAAGAGCTGTAGACGGCTCTTTAGATTCTGATCTCTAAGTGAGGTATTTCAAGATGAGAGACTGAATGCAGTGACATATGCAGATACTCTTATTCCCAGAGCTCAGCCTCTCCGCTCCAGCTCACTCAGTACTGTCACAGCTCAACAAAGAGCAAACTTCTGCCACCCCCAATGAAGTGCTACTCCATTCTCTGTCTTCCTCAAGGAGAACTCAGCTCTTTCCCCTTAAATCACAAGCACACAGACAGCTGAAGTTTTTAAAATGACTTTCCATATAGAAACTGATAAAAAAGAAACTACTCAAATTTCTTTAAAAGGAAGCGTTTATAGTGAATGTTTCTCAGCTGTCTTGGTTCTGAATCCAGCTAATCGACACAACTAGCCACATGGTTAGCCAGTTGGTTTTGGTTAGCCAATTTCTGGATTTGGGTGGGTGTGGCTCACTGTGTAGCCCCGTTACAAGCTCCAGTCTAGCCCTGAAATGGCGACCCCTGAGACTTCAGGCTGTGTTCCTAACTTTGCAGCTACCACTCTGAAGATGTGTGTCCAATTCTGTATCCAAATCTCTCAAGTACAGCAGAAATGAAAGGTACTTTTTGAATCACAAAACCCAAAAACCTTCTTAGGATAGGCCAGCTGCACTGATACAGCAGTAACTATTTTGCTGGAGACTTAAAGATTTTCCATACAATTCTACTCTCCAAACTATGTTTTCTCTCTGTCTAAATAAGCTACAATCTACACCAGCTAATACTTTAAGTAGACTTCACCTCTACTGGTTGAAACTTATTTCTTGACTGCCTTATTACAGCCATGGGTTTGGGCTGGGGCACCAACTTGCTCACATCTTCCAGGTACTTGCCTGGAGTTCTCTTTCTTTTAAAAATCACAACTAAAACAACAAGAACAGAAACACAAACTCCATCTGAAGTAAAATGAAATGATGTGTAAAGTCTCCCAACACAGTGTATAAAGACAGAAAGTGGATGGAGGAATGGCGAACAACTCAGCAGAGGAGGCAGGTGAAGCCTGCTTAATGACCTACCTGGCCTACAGTTGAAACTTATTAGTGGATAAGTAGCACCCGTGCGCTCAGAGCTTTTAGAACCTCACTCTTAAATGTATACATACAGCCAAGGAGGTACCTTTTCCAAACAGAAGGGAATATGAACACATTGGGGACCTCAGATCCATGACTCCAATGTCATCTTTAAAGGGTTTGTGCAAGAAACCAGACACCAACATAAGACTATTTCTAAGTCATGAATAGTTTTACAAGATATGAAAAAAAAAAAAGGATGAAAGTACAAAGGAAAAGGACCTGCTTACCTGTGGGGACATGGACAAGCCTGACAGCACTGTCAGTTGTGTTAACATGCTGCCCTCCCGCTCCTTTGGCTCGAAATGTATCTATTCGCAAATCCTTCGGGTCCACTTTCACATCTACCTGGAGCAAAAAGTATAGCATGAGTCAATTCTACACTCAAGAAATACTTTAATATTAAAGTTATTCCCACATTTTTCAAATAAACTGTACTGTTTTGTGTTAAGTCATAGCTGTTGTGACTAAGAGGTGAAATAACTTACACCAAAGAAAGAACCATAAATTCCCTGTTCCAATGGATGTCATTTTTAACACTGATTTACGAAGCTACGAGATCACTGAGTTATGTAATCTTTCCAAAGTTTCACCATGCATCATCCCACAAAGTTACACTAGATACAAAATATATTTAAAAAAAAAGTATGCGTGTATATATAAAGTTGATTCTCATTATTCCCTGATTCTGTATTTGCAAGTACACCTACTCGCTTAAATGTATTTGTTCCCTCAAATCAATTATGGTAGCACTGTCAGAGCATTTGCAGACATATGCAGAGCAGCAAAAAATTCAAGTCACTCTGCAAGTACATGTTCCCAGTGAGGTGGAACAAGGTGACTCTTGGCTTTCTTGTTTCAGCTCCTGCAGAGATGAGAAGAGGATGAAGACAGGAGGGACAGGGCAGCGCAGTGCAAGACACGCTGGCTCTGGGGCCAGTGGGACATGGTTTGACTTTTCAGCTACGGCACCTGTTAGCAAGGTGGCCTCAGGCAAGTCACTTAGCACTTCTGAACACCATTTTCTCTCTTGTAAAATAAAGACAAGAGAATGTACCAGTATAGGTTGTTTCTAGGGTTTAAGATTATAGTCTAAGTGGGATATGTATATATAGTTCCCCTAGAATAAATGGTTCGGTATTCACTACATCAGCCTTCACTGTGACTTTATAGAATATAATTATTGTGAATAATGAGAATCCTGTGTATGTGTGTGTGTGTGCTTATTAGTGGACTGAATGAAGGCACCCAAAAAGGTACGTTCTGTTCTAACCACTACCTTATCTGGGAAAAGGGTCTTTGCAGATGTAATTGAGTTAAGACGTGATCACCTTGGATTATTCAGTTAGGCTCTAAATCCAATGACAAGTGTCCTCAAACAAGACATTCAGAGAAGAGAGAAGAGAAGACCATGGAAATTCAGAGGCAGAGATTAGAGCTGTGCAGCTTCAAGCCAAGGGACACACACAGACACCAGAAGCTGAAGAGGCAAGGGAGGATTCTCCCTCAGAACCTTTGTAGGGATCATGGCCCTACCAATACCTTGATTTTGGATTTCTGGACTCTAGAATTGTGAGAGAATAGATTTCTGTTGTTTTAAGTCTCCAAGTTTGTGATAGTTCATTATGACAGTCTTAGAAAATTTTCATATATATATATATATATATATATATATATATATATATACACACACATACACATACACACACACACAGAAATAGACAAACACACATACACTCACAAATAGACAAAATATGCTGTTTTTGAGAGGAGACCTAATATTTTATTCCACATTTATCATTTATTTGTATGAATGACAAACAGTAAGTTTGACTTTTCTCCTTAGAAAGTACACCAATAACAGGGTCAAGGTTAGAATCTAATAAACAACTTAGTTGATTGTTCTTCTGTTTCCTCTAAAATGAGTACCATATGATGAAGAAAAGGATTATACACTGCAAAAATTATATAGCTTTATATAGAAATATGCTAGTATTGGCTAACTTAAAATTTCAATAAATACTACAGAGATGAAGAGTAATTTCCGGGGGAGGGTATAGCTCAGTGTTAGAGTGCATGCCTAGCATGCACTAGGTTTTGGGTTCAATCCCCAGTATCTCCATTAAAAAGAAAGTAAATAAACCTAATTATCTCCCCCTTAAAAAAATTTTTTTTAAAAGAGTAATTTCCCATTTCTTGTGTTTGCAGTATATTAAGTAGTTAGATAACAAATATGTCAATATTATATGTTACAGTCTCCCAAATGTTACAGAAATTATCTAATGACTTTTGGGGAATTCTGAACATAGAAACAGTGACTTAATAATATACACAGAATTTTAAATGTCAGTTAAGAGAACAAGACCCTATTCTTTTATGGAATGAAGCTTCACTAACTGAGTTTAATTTTCAAGAATATGAAGATAACAAGGGAATAGGTAAGATGTGTTATTTATATGTATGTGTGTGCACATACACACACAATGGAATATTACTAAGCCATAAAAAAGAATGAAATTTTGCCAGCCGCAACAACATGGACTGACTTGGAGGATATTATGCTTAGAGAAATAAGCCAAACAGAGAAAGACAAATACTTTATGATATCACTTATATGTGGAATCTAAAAAATAAAACAAACTGGTGAATATAACAAAAAAGAAATAGACTCAGATACAGAGAACAAACCAGTGGTTACCAGTGGGGAGAGGGTAGGAGGGAGGGAAAAAATAGGGTAGAGAGTTAAGAGGTACAAACTACTATGTATAAAATGAATGAGCCACAAGGATATATTGCACAGCACAGGGAATATAGCCAATGTTTTATAATAGCTATAATAACTATAAACTGAGTACAACCTTTAAAAATTGTGAATCATTAGGTTGTACACTTGAATATAATATTGTAAGTCAATCTACCAGAATTTAAAATTTATTTTTATTTTATTTATTTATTTATTTGGTGGGGGGAGGGAGGTAATTAGGCCTATTTATTTACTTATTTATTTATTTATTTATTTTTAGAGGAGGTACTGGGGATTGAACCTAGGACCTTGTGCTTGCTAAGCATGCACTCTACCACTTGAACTGTACCCTCCCCACTATACCACAATTTTTCAAAAAAGAAAGAAAATAGTGATTATAACTCATTGAATTTAACAAATAAATCCATAAGTCTATAATGAGGTCAATATATGAAATTCAATATATGAGTTTATAATGAGGTAAAGTCAAAGAGAAAGACAGCAACGAGAAAGGAGAGAAGGTAGTGGGGAGGAAAGTTCTTTACAGAAAAGAAGACCAGTTAAGAAAGAATGACAGAATTAGAAAATCACTCTCCTGCAACCCCCAAATAAATAACTCATTCAGGCGAAGATTACTAATGGATGTTAAAACCACGGAAGAAAATTTATTGGGAACAGGATATATTACCCTAGAGATTACTTAGAAATTACAAAGAGAAAAATATACTTTCACAATGGAGATATTGCTGCGGTCACTACCTTAATTAAATGCTTAAACTAAGCCTCACTAAAAGTGGTACAATCTGATATTCTGTGACTTCTGATAAGATGCAACATGACTGTAACTGTATCTGAAAACTACCCTTTGCTCCAAACGTGTAACCCGGATAGAATGGAACATTTAAATATGACTTTCAATGCAATACAGGGGATAAAGGAACAAGTTAAAATGCACTATGAGGAAACAATCAGAAGAATCCAGAACCTGGAACATTCTATAAGACAAATGGTTTAGAACCCTCAAAAAGTCAGTTATCATTTGAAAAAAAGAAAAAAGGTTGGGAGACTGTTCCAGACTTAAAGAGATATAACAACTAACTGCAATGAGTGAAACCTGACAGGGTCCTGGTTAAAAAAAAAAAAAAGCCATAAAAATATTTTTTGATCACTAAGGAAAGTATAAAATGGACTAGATATTACTTAATTGTGATACTGTGACTTATAATAAGAAACACATATTTGATCTTTGTCCAGTTCTCAGCACAGAGCTCCTAAAACCCTTGGAATTTCCTAAGTGATAAGAGCGATAAAGGTGTCTTTTGTTATTCATAACAAGCCCCTCTCAACTACACTGGAGTTTATGTTAACGAGGTGATATTTGGAAAGTCCCTAGATAACCACTGGATGGGGGCTGGTTGCCAGGGGAACTAACCACCTGACCAGAGGGTTGGAACTTTCAGCTCCACCCCACTCCTTCAACTCCACCGCTTCAGTGGAGGTTGAAGGAATCCTCAATGCCCAGTGGTTTAATCAAACGTGTCTACATATGGAAATCTCCATAAAAATCCCCAAAGCACAGGGTTCGGAGAGCTTCCAGGTTGGTGAACACATGGAGGTGCTGGAGAGGTGGCGAGCCTGGAGAGGGTATGGAAGCTCTGCTCCTCTTTCCACATACTTTGTCCCATGAGTTTCTCCCACCTGGCTGTTCCTGAGTTGTATCTTTTGTAATAAACTAGTGATTTAGTAAATGAACTGTTTCCCTGAGCTATGTGAACCACTTTAGTAAATTACTGAACCTACGGAGGGGGTCATGGGAACCTCCAGTGCACTTCCCATGACATGGCAATGGAATGCCAGATAGTCAGAAACACAGGAGACAACCTGCCCTTGTGACTGGTCTCAGCAGTGGGAGGGGAGGCAGTCTTGCAGGACTGAGTCTAGCCTGTGAGATCTGACGCTATCTCCAGGTAGATGGTGTCAGAATTGAGTTGAACTGCAATACAATCACGTGGTGTCCGCAGAGAATTGGGGGAAAAGAACTCCACACATCTGGAGTGCAGGGAAGTATTCTGTGAGTAGAGAGAACACACAGGAGTTTTTCCTAGACAATAAAATCCCGGTCGATTTTCATAAACAACAGTACAGAGTTTTATGTCAGAGGTTACCTCATCTGGCTGTGGGAGGACAATGACGGACATCGTTCCCGTGTGAATACGTTGCATCCTTGACGACAGGCCCACCTCAGGGATTCGCTGAACTCGGTGAATCCCACCTTCGTACTTCAAATGCTTATAGACACTGTCACCGGAAATTCGGGCAGCTGCATGATGTAGCCCGCCTACGAAAAAATATTCCAGGAATATTCATGAATTCTTCTTTCAAAGGGATCAGGACTGTAAGTGCCCTTATTCTAAGCCCTGAATGTGAGCACAGAGCCTGAGATGAGAACATAAAGTAGGTACAAGACTGTATCTTCCCAATGTAAATGCATGAATATATAAAAGGAAATATACTGATCTGTTATTTATGGTTATCTCTGGGGAACAGAATGACAGCATGTTTATTTTACTTTTAATATATATATTTTTTTGTTTCTAAGCTTTATATAGTAAAAAATTTCACTTTTATAAAAATAGTATTAGGAAAAAAAGAATCCTGGGGTGTTTCTGCATTGAACTATGCTATGTAATCTTAGGCTAGTTTGGTGCCTTATATAAAACAGTGCTCAATAACACAGTAATTTGATAATGATGAGTAACTCTATAGGTCAAGTTTTCAAGAATCTATTGAAATTTAGATCTTGCTTATCTGTGGAGTGGGAAGATAAGCACAAACTAATCTTGATGCCCAGGCTAGCTTCTTATTGGACATGTTTTTAAAAAATCTTTTTATTATAAAATAATATACAGGGGAGAGGTTAGTGGCTCAGCAGTAGAGCACATGCTAGCATGCATGAGGTCCTGGGTTCAATCCCCAGTACCTCCATTTAAAAAATAATAATAATAAAAAAGAAAATTAAAAAAAATAATATACAGACATAGAAAACCACATTAATAAGATGTATAGTTCAAGATCAAGAAAAAGAACTTTGTCAGTCACCCTGAAGGCCCTCCCATCTGCTCCTTCCTAGTTACAATCCCCTCTCTTTCTCATGAGTAACCATTATCCTTTTATTCCCTTCTTCATTATAATTTCACTAACTAATGTGCTGCCCTAGGTACTACAGTTTAATCTGGTCCATTTAAAAAAATTGATATGTCTTTCAAACCTCTCAGTCTGTAAGTTCATCATCCATCACGTTTGTTTCCTTCAATTATCTGTTGAGAAACCAGGACTGTTGACCCATAGAAATTTCCCACGGTCTGGTCTCCCTGATTGCATACTCTTGGTGCCATTCAACTTGTTCCTCTGCCCTCCGTACTGGCTGCCATTGGGCAGCTCGATCCAGAAACTGGATCGCCAGCTTGAGCTCCTTGGCAAGACTACAGAAGACACATAATGTCTGGTGGGCTCTCTTTTTTATGGTGTCGACCGTCTTTTGTTTGTTTTTTGCAGGGAGAGGTAATTAGGCTTACTTAGTTATTTTTTCTGGAGGTGCTGGGGATCGAACCCAGGACCTCATGCATGCTAGGCATGCACTCTACCACTGAGCTATACCATTCCCGCTTTGACAGTCTTTGATGCTTAATGCACTACAGGAGTTGTAACTCGGTGATGGTCTAACTGTATAATTTCTTTCTCACTTATCAGTGTATCTAAGAGAAAGGTTTCCCAACTCTTGTTTAGGCTGCTCTGCACACCTGGTTCAGAATCTCTCTTCCTGTTATTAAATTCATCTCCTTTCATTATTGAAAGTTGAATTCAAAATACACATCGCAGAGATGACATTTCCAACTATTCTCTCATAATGCTGCTGCTTCTGATTATATTCTTGTCTCTCTCCTCTCCTGCTTCCGCAATGTTATACTGGCCTCACCCTTTTTCCTGCTTATCTGACTCTTCTTTCTCTTTTGCCAATGAGTCTATCTTTCTAAATGTGGCCATTCTCCAAGGTTTAGTGTCCTGAATGTTCCCTCTCTACGAACTCTCCCTCACTTATTCTCCGAATCAGACATTATCTCTGTGCGAACAGCTATCAAGTAACTCTCAATTCTATTCTCTTGCCAAAGCTCTGGTTACATAACTTCAGCATTTACTGGCTATTTCTCAAGGGATGCTCACTCTAATAACACACATAATAATTCAAAAGCCACTAGCATTATTCTTCCCCAATGGACTCTGCCTTCCAATTTCTATTCCATCTGATGGCATGAATGACTATCGCAATCTTCCCAGCTAGAAAGACTAGATCCCTGGGGCTCATAGACAGATGGGATGCAGTGTGGTTCTGAATCAGACAGCCTTAAATTTAACTCCAGGCTTGCCATTACTTACTGTGTGATCTTGGATTAGCTACTTACTCTCTGAGCCTAGATCTTCATCTGTAAAATGGGATTGATAATATCCATCTCGCAGGGTTGTGAGGATCTAATACCCTACACTGCACACAGGACACAGTGGGAAAGGAATAGCTCCTCTTGTCAGTTGCCAAATCTTGCTCATTTTTCCTTTGAAGGTCTCTCACCTGTCTCCCAACTCCCAATTCTAACTCTTAGTCATACCTGGATTACTCCAACAGCCTCTCTGCAGTCGGCCTTGAATCTAGCCTCTTCAATCAACCCTTCACACTGTTGTCAAAATAATCCTCTTAAAATATAAATCCTCTTAAAAAATATGTTTATCAAATCATATTTTTATTAACAAATCTCCAATGGCTCCCTAACAATCAAGGCCTGTTCAGCTTTCACAGCCGTTCAACATCTACTCATTCAAACCTATTTCCTTTCACTTCTTATCACAAATACGCTCTGGGTTCACTGGCTTCCTCATTTCTACACACACAGCAAGGTCTTTCCCACCACCAGGCTGTTGTTCAGGTTACCCCTTCCCTCTTCTCTCACTGGTATTCCCTTTCCTGACCACTGGCTGTATTTCAAATCTGTACCGAGCACAGACTTCCTTATGCTCTATACTGGTTTCCATTTCCCTTGATTGTTTAACTTGCATTAATCCTCTTTCCCCACTTTGACAGTCTATGCATTACAATTCATGACCCCTGTGTCTACTGCAGTGTATCTTTATGTAACCAAGGAGACAAAAACTTCGAAACAGAGTAAAAGAATGGAACCAAAAAGAGAATTACTATCAGGTGTTCTGATTTAACACACTCGAGCATGTAAAAGTTTAAAGGCTTGCGTTGTTTGTAGCTGTTTATGTTGTATAAGTTTTTATCAGTCCAATTAGAGCGGGAGCTTCTTGAAAATAAAGACATGTGACTAACCTTTTCTGTATTCCCATAAACATTTAACACACCATTAATACTTTAGAGTAAAAACCTTAATACATCTTGGCTTTGAACAACAGAGCAATGATTTTCCAGGCAAGGCACATATCCATCCTCCACAGGGAAAGTTCTCCAACTCAGATACTCCTTCTAGGAGATGCTCCCCTCCCTCCCACTCTCTCCTCCCAGTTAAGAATTCTACTATAGTAAGCCACTGGGACTGATAAGCCTACGTCACAGTATTTAGTAGATACAAATCAAATGTTTTAAAAAATGGGACAATGTGGTTCTAATCAAGATTAGAGGAAAAATAATTTTCAGCATCCTCTATGGACAAAACCCTCAGACACGCCTACCATAATCAGCTGGTGTATAATTCAGAAGTTCAAATGTCCAGTGTTTGTAGCTTGAATAATTCTGGTACATATCAAATATTTCCCGGGTAAACTGTTGGCAGATATCACCTAAGAGAAAAATATTCAATCAGCACAAATTTCTAAGAGTGTCATCCTTCAGTACAAGCCCCTTAGGAGCTGGGGACTATATCCAAAGTGAAAAACATTTAACAAATATTTAAAGTTACAGTGTCAAATCAAGGTAATGTTTAAGTATTTTTAAACAAACATCATTTACAAAAAATTATTTTATTGACCTCCAGTAGTTCTTCCAGATGTCACCTCTAAAATAACATCATTTTTGTCACATTTCTCCTTTGGCACTAGACTCTGGAAAAGCTGGAAAAGGGGGGAAAAAACAGTATTAGTGTCCATGGTATACTGTTATTACTTGAACTTAGATAAAAGACCCCCAAATATTAAAAAAAATACCAGTAATTAACAAAATCACATAGCATCCCAAAGAGGTCTAGTCCTAAAATGCTTTAATAAGTAGACCTAATTAGGCCTAAAAAAAGTAAGCAATTCACGTTTACAATGAATTCACTTGTTGGGGGATACGTTCTACAATGTTATCAGATTATCTTAATTTTCTAAAATGCAGACATTTAGATCAAAGTCCAGTGTTTTATTCAATTTTCTTTGGGTTTTGCTTCTTATTAGTCCTGAACAGTAGCTTCTTTCATCCAATGAAAGAAGTAAGCTTTGGTTGTCTTCATTTGGAGAAAATGAGGATTTTTTACATATGATCATACATTCTCTCCTGTAGATGACAGGGCACCAGGCCCATGCCCTGTCTTCTTAGTGGAGCTGCTGTTTAGAGACTATATTGAGGGGTGTGGGAGGGTATAGCTCAGTGGTAGACCCCGTGCTTGGCATACATGAGGTCCTGAGTTCAATCCCCAGTACCTCCATTAAATAAACAAACAAACCTAATTACTTCCCCTCTGCAAATAAATAAATAAAGAGTATATTGAGGACTCCCAAGATAAGGCTTGAATAGTTTCTCAGTGTGACAAGAAAAAAAAAAGAGCATTCTAATAAAGAAAGTAACCAACTTTCCTCTTAGGAAAAAAAGGGAAGCAACTTTATCTTCATCATTACTAAAAGGTCTTTCAAATCAAACTGAAAGTACCAATGTGTCACGATTCTCCCTACTGACAATTTCTGAAATAGTCCACCTCTGCTAGAAATGCTACAGCCTGCGGGAGAGACTGTTAGACTAAGGGTCAGACATCTTACATACGCTTTTGACTAGCTGTCTAAATTGGTGAAGAAAATATCTGATACCTCCACCTCATCCTCCTCAGCCTCTCAAAAAGCTCCTCTTTTTGAATGCAAAGCCCCTCTGGATTCTGAGTAGGAAAGACTGAAAGTAGGAAGATGGTAGATATGACAAAGGGGAACATGGTACATAGCACTGTATTTTCATTATCTTTTAGGCAAATCATCCTTTGAGCTATAAAGACTTGTATTAATCCAGTCTCTATACTCTTGGATTCATTCCATTCTATCCAGAATGCAAATTTTCAACCCTTAACCCAATCACCATGAACCACTCTCTAAGACTTAACAGCTCCCCGCCAACCCTTTCCCCATGTTGAACTAGATTTCCTCACTAGCATGTATTCCCTCGCCTGGTAAGTTAATAGATTCAGCTTTGGAATATTTTCACATGGGGGTGTGGGCGGTGTTTTCTTCTTCGACATCACAATCTCTTCAATATCATTCTGTACTAAATTATAGCACTAAACTCAACATTATCAATTATCACAGGAGAATAAATAAACTGATGTTTGGAGAGCACTCCAAGCAGTTAGTCTAGTGAGAACAGTATTCCTTCATATCAACACTACTGAGATCAGTTTACCTCTTAAAACATACCTCACTGTATAACACGTTGATTTTCTGAGCAATGGTTTGCCTCTCTTCTAATGCAAGTTCTTTTAACTGCTTTTCATCTTGCTTATTTAAACCTACAAAACCATCAACAGAAATAATGGTAAACATGTTTAAATACTTACAGAGAAACTCTTAAATAGCTGCCTAATTTCTACCTACTAGGTTTTATTTCAGTTTAAAGGCAAGGGATTATACAAAAGAACAGAATAGTTAGAGAACATCAGTGAACAAGTATTTGCTAAGTATGTCTCAAAAACTCATCGTGAAAAGAAGTACGACCTTGCCCCAAAGAGCTTGTGATTTGAATGTCTATAAGTAATCACAGAAATCAGTGATTAATCAAACAGGTTTTAAAAGGGACTAACTAATTAAATACAAACCCAAATAAGCTACATTTTAAAGTGGAGTGACCATTTTTTGTCTAAAGGTGGCAGCCATTACTCAGCACACTGTGAGTAGACCAGCATGGCTAGAACCTCCATTTTTTTCAAGAGAAGTTGGAAACAAGAACTCTTAACATTTTGAAATCTTTTGAAATGTTCATACCTAGTAAACATTTTCTAAAAACACCATGTGGGTCAAAACAAACCGCACATCTTTGTAAACTCTGCTTTATGGAAACAATGGTCCTTTTCATATCATTTGAAAGCAAGAAGTTAAATCATGGAACTAGAACCAAGCTATCAATGAGAGAGTGGCCAAGCATGGTAGATCCCAAAACCTTTGACTCCACTGCTTTAGCTGCCTAGAGACTCCATTGGTCAGTGGTGATACCTGCTAAATGAGGTAGACATTTTTGACGCTTAATAATAAAGGAGAAAATAGAAATGAAGAGTAATTCTAAAGGAGAGAAGGCTCTTCAACATTCTTCTCCAGTCATGGAAGTCATCGGGGTCCAGTGGGATTCTATGACTCATTCCTGCTTTCAACATGTAACACTTACTTTGTGCTAAATACTCTGCTAGTTGCTGGGGACAGAAGGATGGACAAAACATGGTTCAGGTCTCAAGTGCTCAGTCTGGTGGGAAAGACAGACAGACACACACACACGATTACAGTATGTGGTGAGGGCAGTGCCACGAAGGCACAAAGAGTGGTCTAAGCCAGACTTCAACCTTTAAGAAAGGTTCCTAAACAAGGTGCCATCTGAACTACATTCTAATTACGGATCATCTGTTGCAGAATTGTAACGACCTACTGGCCTCACCTTGTGCATATAAGCCTCAAATGGGAACCAGGCTGACATCACTCAATATAGATATCTGCTGGGTCAAAGGTATTGGAAAAACCTTGATTTGCCATCATACAAAATTATTTTTGTGGCCTCTTATTATTTCCTGAACTGTAAAATCCAACCTAATTTAATTTCATTGTATCAACAGATTCAAGTGTCTATTATATCCTATGTTTGGTGCCACAGGAGATAAAAATGAGTAAGAGACAGGCCCTGTACTTAATGAACAGACAACTCAGGGGAAGGGGCTGAAGTTAAGACAGTTATATAACGGATCAGAATATGAAACAGAGAAAAGTAATCAGAATTGTTTTACAGAGGGGAGTGAAGCCAAGCCAAAATATGATATCCAAGCCATACTTTGTAAGCAGACTGACCTTTAAGAAGGTGAAACTGATGGGTTAACATGATTAAAGACACAGATGTGGGATGGCCTGAGTATATTCAGGGAATGGCAAGTTGCCTATTTGGGTTGAAAGGTAGAATATACAAAGGGAATTAATATACTACACAGAGAGAAGGGGGCTTGCTCTGCAGAGACTCTAAAATGCCAAACCAAGTAATCTATATTTATAGGCAATGGGAGCTAGGGGAAGTTTTGAGCAGGGGAGTAATATAATTAAAGTCGTACTTGGACTAGGAAAGCCTGGAAGTGAGATCACAAGTTAGGAGTTTATTGTAATCATCTATGACTGAGATAAAATGAAGATGTCAACTAGTGGAAAGAACAGAAGGACTTCAGAACACTGTGCAGTGGCTAAGAGCAGGGGCTGTGGAATCTCACTGACTGGGTTCAAATCCTTGCTCCTCTAATGATTGGCTAAGCAGCTTTTGGCATTTTAATCTCTTAGTTTCTTCAGCTATACAATGAGGATATTAATAATCATGCCTACCTCACAAGTTTATTGTGAAGATTCAAATGAGATATTTGTAAAATACGTAGTGCCTGGTGCATACTAAGACTTAGTAAATACAGCCATTATCATTATTATATGGAACAACAGAATTGTAGCTAAAGCTTTAGAAACAATCTAATCCAACCTACTAATATTACACATGATACAACCATACCTGAAAGAGGTTATGTCAATTTAATTGAGAAAGCATTTAGTAAGCTCCTATTACGTGCAAGCAACTTTCCCAAAACTAATTAACTCCAAATTTGAGTGGCATTATGCAGGAGAGAAAAAATAATCCTCATTAATGTGGGTGAAAGCCTCATGGGGCCACTAACAGAAGGCGGGAAAAGGTAAGGCTTTGGACATCCAGGACTTTACAGGCGTAACTGTGACTGGCCTCTACGCTGCTTAACATCTGTAAGGCCAATAGCAGAATCTGGAGAAACGCTGAACCCCGAGTTAGTCCACTATACTTTGTTCTCAATTTCTGTATATCTTAGAGATTTTTCATAAAAGAAAAAAATCTGTTAAGGCAATTATGCAAAATTAACTCAAATACATCAAAGATCTAAATGTAAAGGCTAAAAATATAACTCCTGGAAGGAAAAACAGATGTTAACATTTGTGGCCTATAGATTATACAATAGTTTCTTAGACATGACACCAAAACACAAGTAACAAGAGAAAAAAAGATAAATTTAACTTCATCAAAATTAACAACTGTGGTGCTTCAAAGGACAACCCACAGAATGGGAGAACATTTTGGCAAATCATACATCTGATAAGGAACTTGTATCTATAATATAAAGAACTCTTATAATTAATAAAAAGACAGCTCATTAAAAAAAAAGAACAAAATAAAATGAAAAGACAGCTCAACTGAAAAATGGGCAAAGGATCTAAACAATCATTTATCCAAAGATGATATAAAACGGCCAATGGGCAGGTGAAAAGACATTCAGGGAAATGCAAATCAAAACCACCTCATACCCACTAGGATTGCTAAAATCAAAAGGGCAGATAATAAGAGTTGGTGAGGATGTGGAAAAACTCGAACCCTCATATGCTGGTGATAGAATGTAAAATGATACAGACACTTTAGAAAACCAGTCTGCAGTTCCACAAAAGGTTAAACATAGAGTTACCATACAACTCAGCAATCTATGTCCACACAAAAACTTGTACACAAATGTTCAAAACAGCATTGTTCATAATAACCAAATAAGTGGAAACAATATCTAACAACTGATGGATGGATAAATAAAATGTGGCATATCTATGCAATGGGACATAATTCAGCAATAAAAAGAGATGAAGTACAGAAACATGCTATGACATAGGTGAACTTTAAAAATATTACGCTAAGTGAAAGAAGTCAGTCACAAAGGGTATATATGATTCCACCTATGTAAAATGCCTGAAATAAGTAACGCTACAGAGACAGAAGGCAGATTGGTGGTTGTCTAGGGCTGGTAGGAATGAGGGGATTGGGATGAGATGGCTAAAGCAGGGTTTCTTTTTGGGGTGAAGAAATAATATCCAGACCATATTAGACTTTTGATGGGGTACGAACTGTATTTTTGTGTCCTCGGTCTGCAGCACTTAGGAAAATACTTGATAAAGATCTATTCAGTGCTAATTAAAGCTTCTGAAAAGGTGCATACTCAAGTTTCCCAGACCTTCAGAGCTTCTTGGCAAGTACCATGAAGAGCTCAGTCTCTTAGTAGTTGCTCTTTAGTAGCTGAAATACTTCAAACACCCAGAGTTCTGTCCTTTTCAAGTGTGGGGCTTATAACTTGTAGGTTTGTTAAAAGACTGAGTTCAATAAAGCTTTAACTTAGAAAATCAATCCTGTACTTGTACACACACATATCTTTTACCTACTTTTACACATTGATTCTAATTCTTCAATGGCTTGTTCAGCCTCCTGGATTTCTTTGCAAATGGCCGCAAGTGGTGCCAGCTCAGCATGCCGTCGATTCAAGGACCTTCGGTCCCCTTCACTCACAGAGATACGCTGTAGACAATGATCAAGTGTTTGGTACTCCTTACTCAGGTCCTCCATGTATTTCTGTAGTGCTTTATGCTTCCAAAGCATCCTAGTATCTTGATGACAATATCTCCTGGACCAATTCTTATTTAACAGATGATGGACAGTGTGACTCCTGTTTCGTCTAAAAACCCACAGCCTTGTATCAAGATGTATCTGTGTAAACTGATGAGAATGGGGAGGGACGTGGCACTGGCGGTGACCATTAAGAGATGGATGTCTAAAAAGCCAAACATACAGGTGACGATTCATCTCAGCATCTGAAACGAAAGAAACATAATCTGAAAAAAATCAACTCCAAGGATATAAAAGCTGGAGGAGCCTCAAGAAATCTTGCTCAGCTCACTGTCTCAGCCAGCTCCAAATAGTTCAAAATTCAATAACCCACAAAAAGAAAACAATTCTCCAAACCTCTAAGTATATTAAAATAAACAAAGATAGCATTTTTCCCACCCACTCAGCATATATAATTAACTAGGGCAAATGAGTAGGAGTGTAATTGATAAATATGTCAATAGACTAGGTTAAATTAGTTATTTTCTAGAAAGCATCCAGAAACTAGAATTGAATGTGCGAACAGGCACCTGTAAAGTAAGAAATAATCACGTAAAATTTAGGTGGCTCATATATTAATAGATTTCTAGAATTTGAAGGAAATATTAACTATTTTCTTGTCTAATTCATTAACATTAGGCATCGGGATGTCCAAGGAAGTCGACTAACTTAATCATGATTATTCATTGGGCCGGATAGACTAGAGTTTTTCACTCCCAATTATGCAATCACTCTTCACAGGTGCATCCCTTTTAGCTGAGACTCTAAAGAAATAAAACTTTATTAATGACTAAGGAAGTATGAAGTCCAATGAAAAGGAAAAAATCATACTAAATGAAAAAAGTGGGAGTGAAAACAACATAATCTTAATTAGGTTTTCAAATTTTTCTACAGTATATGGAATACATAGGTTTATGAGGACGTAATCCCATCATAAGCTCCATTGGAAGACCCTTATTTTTAAAAAAGAAACACACCAAAATGTTAATAAGATGATCTCTAGTTGTGGGATTATGGAGACTTTTGCTTACTTTCCTTTTTTTCCCCTACTTTTTCATTTTCCAAGTTTTCTATGCATACAGCACATATTACTTTTACAATCAGGAAAAAGATTACTTAAAAAATTACAAGTTAGGTGAAATTGGCTGTGTACAATAATTATCTGTTCTCCTTCCCTCTAACAGAGATAATCAAAAGATATAACTCACATACACAATGGCTTTATTGAGTAAGAAAGGGAAAAGGGAAAGCGTTCTAAGAAAAATACTTTGCCCCTAAAATCCTGAGGTTCAAAGTTGAAATAAGGGTCAGAATTGATCAGAATCAACCTTTATTGTCTCCAGTGTTCCTACTATGGTAGGTGCATTCATTTATTAGCTCATGTGGTCATTATAAGCCTGCTAACTTGGATATCATTATCTCCTAGGAAATAAAATATTCAAAATGGACTCTTCAAATATTCAAAGTTTGCAGGGTTCTACTAATGAAATTTAACATACTGAATCACATTCGGAAGGGGACTGCAGAAGAGTGCACCAATGCCCAGTAGCCACAAATGTTACAAACCTCCAGCAGGAGTTTCCGTGTGTCTTTCACATCTAGTCTCAAACCCATCACAAGAGGTGTGTCCATTTGAAAAAGGTCAGAACAACAGCAACAACAAATTGGCTAAAAGATTTTTGTTAGAACACTTAACTAAATTTCCATTTTAGGGACAGTTAGTAGAATGAGTAACTCTCAAGGTCACGAACCTCAACGTTAAAAAAAAAAGAGCCGAAGACATTTACTCTCTAGGGTTATCTATACCTGAGGACAGCAAGTCTTCCCCATCACACAGCAAGGTAAAGGGATTACTTTGATACTCTAGGAACAGCTCTCAGCGTCGGCAAGTCAGAAGTGGCACTGACCCCGCACCAGAGCAGCACGTGTAAGCCTCACTGTGTAAGTCGGCATAAGGAGCGATCCCATAGCGAGGCACCATGGGGGAAAAGAGCTGGAGAAAGAAAAAAGACTTTTAAAAGATCAGAAGAGAGAAAAAAAAAAGAAGAAACGAAGAACAGGAAGAAAAAAAGGACGTTAGGTTTCCTTACTGAGGTCGGAACCCTCTGTGATCCACTACATTTCAGCCCGACAACCACCGGACCACTTTCACTTCCAGGTTCACTCCTTCCGGGTTGATACTTGATCCCGCCTTCTTCGTCTGGACTCTTCTCCGGAGTTGAGTCCTTGAGTGTGCGTAACAAAAAAAGAAAAATGACAACGCGAGAAAAGTGCCCACAAGACGCAGTGTACTTACCCAGAGTCCGAGCCCAGGGTGTGGTTGCGACGCGGGCCGGAGAGTTGCGGGGGTGGCGGTGCCCGAGTGTAGAATGAACCACAACTCCCAGGAACGCCCACCAAGGAATCCTGGGAGTTGTAGTTTATTTCGGACAGGCGCCCCGCCCCCAAGCCCCTAAGCCTAAAGGTGGAGCTTTGGTTTTCACAGTTTCAGGCAAGCCCAGAAGGGAGAATCTCTACAATTCTGATTAAGACATCAAGATACAGGAGAATTTCCTTACGTAAGGAGACACTAGAGCAGGGATTCCTGATTTTTTTTTATGTAAGGATCGCTTTTCATCATTCAAGAATTAAGAGGGTTTTGTGTTTTGCATGTTAATAGCTATACTTTCAGCTGCCACCGCCTGAGAAAGTACCTTATGATTAATTGGGACTATAAATTCGTGTTTTTAAAAATCATAATGGGGATTCGAAAGATGGGTTACTAGATATATCCACAGGTTAGTGATTTTGTAGCTGTTGAATGCATATACACAATTTTGGGGTTCAACTTAGATATATAAACCACTGTAAAGAATTAAAAAACCTAAATAATGTGGATACTAACTAATATATATATATAATAGATAAACAAGTTCATACTGTACAGCACAGGGAACTACATTCAATATCTTGTAGTAACTTACGGTGAAAAAGAATATGAAAATGAATATATGTATGTTCATGTATGACTGAATCACTATGCTATACACCAGAAATTGACACAACATTGTACTGACTATACTTCAATTATATATATATATATATATACACATATACATATACAAAAAAACCCCTAAATAATAAAAAAAATTCCAGGAAAATGCAAACATATTGCCTTACTTTGAGTATTCCAGTGGGATATAGCCCTTGGCGATCACATTTACAGGTCATTTGACCTTTAAGACTTTCTTCCTGGGGGCGGGAGGTGGGAAGGGACAGACTGGGAATTCAAAATGTAGAATAGATAAACAAGATTATACTGTATAGCATGGAGAAATATATACAAAATCTCATGGCAGCTCACAGTGAAAAAAAAGTGACAATGAATATATGTATGCTCATGTATAACTGAAAAATTGTACTCTACACTGGAATTTGATACAATATTGTAAAATGACTACTACTCAATAAAAAAAAATGTTTAAAAAAAGAGTTTCTTCCTGAAAAGCAAAGGCAAAGAGAATTCCATTTTCCTGACTTCACAGGATATTTTCTTAGGTAATGATCACATATATTAAAAGGAGAATTGGCCATAAATGTAAATATCTAACCATTACCTATTTCAAGGTATCTACTGCTGCCTACAACATATTCTAAATGGTTTAAGCATATTAATTTAATCCTTACAACAACTCTAAATTACACATTTTGCA